TGTTGATTGATTCATACTATTCTATGATGAAAGGCAAGTCACTTCATCTCTCAGTGCTACAGGCAATTCTCTAAAATTATAAATTACAAATGAAAACCTAACCTGTAAAAGTGGAAGGAGTTTCTATATATTGATAAAATCATGGATCTGGGCCAAAAAGAAGACTATTTTAATTGTAAATCTTGTTATGGAATTGCAATGCCAGCTACTGATAAAGAATATGTAAAGGCATTTACAGATTAACCTTCCTGAACAGGAGGTTCCATCTGCACATATCAGAACCTAGGCTACCTTACCACAACTTGTTTTTAGGGGGAGAAGATGAGAAGGACAGGGAGGAAAGCAAAAGACAACTCTCTATGTTGACCATTAAAGATCAATTCAGTTGTATTTGCTGTCTCAATCCATTCAATAGCATTCATTAAGCTATTTACTGTGCGCTAGGCGCTGTGCTAAGTGCTGGTGATACAAAGGCAAAAATAATTCCTACTTTTAAGGAACTCACACTCTAATAGGGGAGACAACATGCAGACAATGGCATACAAACAAGCTTTATTAAATTGGGAATGGCCTCAGAGGGAAAGCACTAAGATTAAGTATGACTGGGAAAGGCTTCTTGCAGAAGGCATGACTTTAGGAAGCCAGGGAAGCTAGGACGAAAAGAAAAAGAGGGAGAGAGTTCCATGCATGGGCATAGTCAAAGAAAATACTCAAAGATGGTAGATAGAATGTCCTATGGAAAGAACAAGAAGGAGGCTAGTTTCAGTGGATCACAGAATACATAGAGGGGAGTAAGGAATAAGAAGACTGGAAAGGTAAGAAGGGACTGGGTTATAAAGGGCTTGAAAAGCCAAAGGGGATTTTATATTTGATCCTAATTCTGTTGGGGAAGGAGAGTGACGTCAAACTTGTACTATAGGAAGATCAATTTGACAGCTGAATGGAGGATGAATTGGAGTGGAGAGAGTCTTGAGATCAACTGAAGGACTATTGCAGTAGTCTAGGCATGGGGTGATGAGTACATGGATCAAAAAGGTGTCAGTGTCAAAGGAGAGAAGGGGATGTATATGAGATGTTCCAAAGGAATGACAAGGAGCAGCTAGGTGGCACAGTGGATAGGGCACTGCCCCTGGAGTCAGGAGGACCTGAGTTCAAATCCGACCTTGACATTTACTAGCTGTGTAACCCTGGGCAAGTCACTTAACCCCAATTGCCTAAAAATTAAAAAAAAAAAAAAAACAAAGGAATGACAAGACCTAACAATTGATTGGATAGGGGGAGTGGGAGAAAGTGAGGATAGTGGAACCCCCAACAGGAATAGAGTACTAACAACTCACATTTCTGTAGCACTTTCAGGCTTCCATTAGAATATAAGCTCCTTGACTGCAACGTCTGTTTATCTCTTTGTTTTTGTTTTCCTGGTGCTTCACATAGTGCCTGGCACATAGTAAGTGCTTAATAAATGCCTATTAACTTGACTCAATCTGAGGAAGAGGGGAGGGTTTGAGGGTAAAAGATGAGTCAGTTTTAGACGTGCTGAGTTGAAGATGTCTACAGGATATCTAGTTTGAGATAGGAAGCTAGAGATGTGAGACTGGAATCAGGAGATAAGTTAGGGCTGGACAAGTAGATCTGAGTCATCTGCATAGAGATGATCATTTAAGATGGTCTATGATAGAGCCTTGGGGGACCTCCAGGGCTAGCAGGCTTGAAGTAGATGAAGATCCAGCAAAGGAAACAGAAGAGAGGTCAGACAAGTAGTAGGAGGATGAGGAGAAAACAGTGTCACGAAAACCTAGAGAGGAGAGAGTTTGAAGAAGAGGGTGAAAGATAGTGTCAAAGGCTACAAAGAGAATAAGAACACTCACTCATTTAACTCATTTACAAGCTTTTGTGTTCCTACTGAATTCCCTGAGGTCAGACTCCATTTACCTCGAGGTGCCCTGGTGTTGAGTGAATAGCATTAAGGACAATGCTGATGGCAATTCTCATACTTCACAATTAAAACAAACCAGAATTCATCACCAGAACCCATTGTTGGCATTAAGATGGCAAAGAATCACCTATCATCTGGCACATTCTCCTGAAGCCTTCTTTGTGAAAGCTTGGAAATTAGCATAACATTCCTGCAAGTGGCAAAGTAAAGTGAAAACCACAAGCAGACTGGGTGTGGTGTTTAAGACCCAGTTCTGAGCCACTTGGGTGCAAGCTGATAAACTTGATTTCTCTATTGGAGTTTCACATGAAAGAGATTGTATCTTCTTCCACAATAAGTAGAGAGAGGGAAAGAGAAATGGGGGATGGGGGAGATACGTGTTCCTTGGAAGGTAGAGCATGAATAAATCAGTTTCTGCCTTCATGAGACTGATCTTTAGGTAAGCTAAATTGTCAAATAGCTTCTCAGTCTGATCCTGTGCTCCCCTCATAAAATGGTTTTTAAAACCATTTAAGCCACTTCCTTGAGAGTAAGAAGGAAAATAAATATTAAGTAGTGGCCAAGTGATTTGGATTCCTGTCAGCACTTAGCCTTTCAAATGCGATCTTGTCAATTTGAGAAAGTTTTCTCTCACTTCCCCACTAGTAATAGGTTGCGAATTTCCTTTTTATAGCTGAAGTGCAAGGAGATCTTTTTAACCTTACCTCTTCAAAAAATGATAGTGACTTTAGATCAGTAAAGAAATTAACCATTTCCTTGAAGCCAGGTCATTTCTAAATATAATCTGTCACTTAACTTGGGGCTGATGGAGGTTCTTCTACTTTCTTTATCCAATGAGCAGAAGTGGTATTTTTAAACATGCTTATTTTGTGTGTCATCCTGCTGTTGTCAGTATGAGTCTGACTGACCCTGTGGAAGAAGTGGATAAAAAAAGGTAGAAAAGAGTTCTGAGAAATCTGTTCATTTAGTGTGGATGGATGTGCTGGCAAAAGAAAAAACAGGTAAAAAAATTACTTCTATCAGCTTCAGAAGAGAAAAACATCTGACAGGGAAGCATAAGAAGGAAATAGGAATTTCTGAAAATAATAGATATCTAATTTTTTGAAAATGCCTCTTAGCCTATGTCTGATTGTCTCAGGGATGGGGGGAGGAAAGGAGGAATAGAATTTGGAACCCAAAACTTTTTTTTTAATGTTAAAAAAATTTTAACACATAATTGGGGAAAATATATTAAACTTTTAAAAAAGAAAACAGAAAAGCAACAAAAAAAGTGCCTCTCCCAAAGAAACACATTACACAAATGAACAAAACTTGGTCAGAAACTCAAGGCTGAACTTATCTCTCTTTCCTTGGACTCCAGGTTTAGTGGATATTAATTGAATCCTTAAGCCTCCCAAGGAATAGACTTTTGGAAACCATGAACTTCCAATCATCTACTATGTACCTAGTATTGCATTGGGCATTGTGGGAAATTAGAACAGAGAGATCTCAAAGTTCCCCTGGAGGAAAATTTCAGTCTATGGAGACAGAGAAAACATGCTCCCACAGTAGAACTAGGAAAAAAATAAAGCAGTGAATGAACTAGTACAAAAGTACATATAGTAAAACACTTCCTGATGAGAATGGTATTTTTACTGGTATGGAAAAACCTATATGGCAGATGTCATCCTGGCCCTCGAACACATTGTAGTGCCTACTATTGTATAAACTACACATACAAATAAATACTGAAGGGACTCATCAGAATATAATCATGGTAGTTTGGGGTGGTTGTTGTTGTTGGGTTTTTTTTTTTTTAAGTAAGAAACAGCGACTAAGGCAAGGATTCTCTCCACTTGAGAAATGTTGCAAAGTTATGTAATTTTCTCCTTTGTCTGAAAACTTCGAAAGGCACAAATTTTCAAATGTTCAGTGCTTTGGAGGAGGGCATAACTAGGGAATCCAAATGGAAGAACCTAGTTTTTCACAAGAAACCCCAGAATTAGTCCTAGTATTGTCTGCTTTAGAGATAAGAGCCCAAAGGGGAAACAAGTGAAATTTGGGTCAAGGGCCATGAATTGCCAGGAACACCCAGAATTGGCAGTAGCAGCTTTGCTTGTACAATAAGGGAAAAGTTTTCTGGATGAGCCCTAATTGTGTCAGGGTCTGCAGAATTAATTCATTCAATTCTGTTCCGTCAGCTTGACGTTGAAGTGCTCTGTATACATTCCAAGTTATGATCTATGTGGATATCAAGCAGAATCCATGTTCTGTTGGCCTTCTTTGGAGACCACTTTGTACTGGGTACACAACACAAATGTTCTACTTGACAGCTACTGGCAAACTTGAGTTTGTGGGGGAGGTTTGCCCATGTTTATAAATAGGGATGCCAGGAAGTCTTGGGTGTGACATTGGACTTGAGATGATGGGAGATGATCCCAGCCATGGTTTTGATTCAGCCAGGGATTTAGAGTGTAATAATTGAGTACCTGGCCAAAAAAAAAAAAAAAAAAAAAATCAGGCTCCCTGCCTGGAGCCCTTTCTCTTGACTGAATCCTCCCCTGCTTGTGTAAGCACAACTCCATCCCTCCTCCCATCCTGCTGCTGCCTCCGCTGCCACTGCCACCAATGCCACTGCTGCTGCTGCTTTGGGAAGGAAAGGAGCTGCCCAGGTTCACGCTGCTTTTGAGTTCCCAGGACCTGGCATTCCGGCTAGCCGCTGCCTTGAAGCTGGGGGAGACAGAGACGCTCCCAGCCCTCCTTTGATTAGGATATGTCAGGGTTGTCAGGGCAACTGTTAACGGGGGCGTATCATATTTTCCCCTCTTGTGTTGCGTGCTGAATATTTTAGTGAGCTGTAGCTGGAAGAAGATTGGAAAAGGGTGCTGCAGCAGGAAGGAGGATCTGATTGAACAGGTTAGGCAGTGGAGAGAGGCATCGGACCGATGCGCTGTGCCTTTAATCAGGGCTTTCCTTGAGAGTGCGGGGATGGGTGAATGTGGAGAGTGAGTGGGAGTGGGAAGGGGCTAGTGAGGGAGTTGGGGTGGGGGAGGCAGGTGGGGGGAACCACAGGCCCTCCGCCGCCGTGCGGATGGTAGTGTTTGTCAGCTGTTTGCACACTGTTTACCCGTAGGGGATCTATTACAAGTGCTCAAATGATCCGGCCGCTTAGGAGCTAGCAGCTTCACCCAGGCTGCAATTACATAAACATATATTTTTAATAACAAACAAACAAACCCACCCCCCCACGTGGCGGCGACATGCCTGGATCAGCTACTGCTATCCGACAAGAGAGGTTGAAGAAGACCAGTTCAAGGCCAAATCCCCCTGGTTTATTCACCATTAATGAGGAAGAGGAACAGCAAAAGAATGGAAATGCCAGAAGACTGAAAGGTATGCATGAGCTCTCTGTACAGTTCGGTCAGGTTGTGTACAGTACATTCCTGTTACACTGCCCAAGGCAGGCTGTTACCTACTGTACTTACACTGCATGCTGCACTGGGTAGTGTTTATGACCTAGCAGGATAGTTTGCCGGTGGACATTTCCACACTATGTACATTTTTTTTGAATTCGGAGAGTGGTACCTCTGCTCCTTCTTCCCTTCACTCTTGATTTTGTAGGTTTCAGAGGAGCCACTTTGTTGAACAAAGCCACATTCTTTGCTTTGAGACACTTATTTTCCAGATGGGTCTCCACTGATGGTTAATAATTGCACCATCGTGTCAGGAGGAGGTAATTTAAGTTGTCAAGGTTTGAAATAAGCAGGTCTCCACTTTCTTTAAAGGGATCAGATGATTTCTGTGTTGTTTTAAGGAGGGGAGTTTTAGGTAGAAGAATGGGAATTTGGAGTTTGTGGCAAAATGAATTCAACCTTATCTGGGCCAAGGATGGAAGGATAGTATACTGTGTTTCTGTACTGAAGTGTGCATTAAGAGTGGGAAAAAGAAAATGACATGAGTGAGGGGGTGGGGAGGGACTGAGGACAGTGAGAGGAGCAGCAGAGGGATGGTAGTAGCAAGAACATTTAACTTTTTTCAAAGAATGTTTTTATTTTATTTTTTCTCAATTACATGTAAAAATTTAATATTCATTTAAAACAATTTTTTAGTTCCAAACTTCCTTCTTTTTTCCCTTCCCAGTCTTCGGCGCCCTCCCCCCCAAAGGTAGGCACTTTGATATTGATTATACATGTGCAGTCAGAGCATTCAACTTTTGAGGATAACTTTTTCTAAATGTTTTTCTGGAAGGTAAAATTTGCTGAGTATGTGTATGCATGTAGACATATATGTGTGTATATATGGGTCAAGGAGGAGGGTTTGCTGCTCTTTACATAATGATGGAATATAACAGAAGCTCACCCAGCCAGTTGAGTCACTGTGTTCTGCATCATGTACAGCCCTTTCTTACAGTCAGGACTCCTAGAGTTTTAATTACCACATAGAGAAGGCAGCATTTCAGAATTGTGACTCTCATTCTTGAATTTTAAGTTTTTAGAATGTTAGCTCTATGCTGTGCTTCCCAACTAATTAGTGCTTCTTCCTCTGACTACATTAGGGATTGTCCCTCCGGCATTACCCTCAAGCCCCCAGCTTTTTGTAGCAATTAGTGTACTATGTATATTCTAGTTGTTCTGTCCCTGAGTTATCACATTTTCCTCTTACACTTACAGGGAAGAAACCTAGAGTTCTGGTGGGAAAATATTTAAGCAGTAGCGGACTAAGTGCTTAATCAGGACCCCATGTCTGAGGACTAGTGATTTTTCTGGTGGTTGAATGAATTGTAATCTAGTTTACAATAAGGCTCTGCTTTTTGCATTAGCACTGATGATTTTTGGTCCTTCAATTTAATCTTATTCAGTGTGTTCCTGTAACATATAATCTTATTACTATAGTCATTCTTATTTAATATCTGGCATGGTTTTATCTGGGGACTGACTCTTAATCTCCTTGCAGAATGACCTTAGTGATTTAACACTACTGTGAACAGAAGTTTATTTTCAGTCCCCTTGTTTGCCCTGGAGTTAGCAACATATTCTAGTTCAAATGGCTGTTGACAATGAACTAAGCCCTTTAAACTGTATTAGCAAATCATCTGGACACCTAGGAGTTGGTGACTTTCAAACTTAACGTTCATGTGGATTTTATGGGATTGTTCCCATGGGGTGTTTTTTAGAAGCATTCTTCTGATTTGTGGCTATTTTCCTTTGTGCGCCCTTGGGGTAGTGGTTCACGAGAATGGCACTTTTCATTCTTAGACTGTTATTATCCTTTTCTATAGGTTTTTTTCTCCTTGATACCCTCCCTTATTATTCTTATCTTTATCCATCTAGTTTGAAGGGGAAAGAATGAGAATATTAAAAAAAAAAGGAAGAAAACTACTCTCTACAAATATATCCTTTTTGCATTGATTGATGTATTATAGTAGTTTAGGGAAATAAGAGACTTTAATGGGGGAGGGGGTGCAGAATCTCCAGTCTTCCACTTTTTCCTCTCCTCTCCCCCAAAGAGATGGAAATTCACTGTTCTAGCAAAGAATCTTATACCTTTTCTTGCGCATTACAAGCTGGACCCCTTCTGAAGTGGTCTCTAAATGTCTTACAATGACTTAGTCCAGCAGATCTTTGAGTGAGTATAGAGAGGAAAAGTCTTGAGTATCTTATGTAAGTAAAGATGGGTATTCTCTGCATTAAGAGAAACAGCTAATTAGTCTAAGACTGCAGTTTCTGATTGTAACTATATGAAAGAGCTTGCTTGCTAGTCCATGGAGAAGTGACTTTATGAACTCTGGTATCTCCACTAAAGATGCTCCTGTTTTCACTGGCACTCAGTAAGGCTATGCCCCTAGATAATTGACACAGGACCATGGGATCAAAGATGTAGAGCTGGAAGGGACTTCAGGGGTTATCTAGTTCAACTCTCTCATTTTACAGATGAAGAAAATGAGGGTTCGAGAGACGAAGTGACTTGTTACTTTGCAGAAGGGGAAACTCTAAATCAGTGAGTTACCCTATGACAATGGTTTGGTGAAAATTTTCAAATATTTCCTTCTCCAGTTTGTGGCTGCTACTTGATAGACAAGTTTTTTGTTGTTGGGTTTTTTTTTTTTAATTCCCTGCTAGCTATTACCTGTACCTTTCCTCTGTCGCTCTTATAGGATGTTTGAGTTCTCAATGATAATTCTCAAAACAACAGACCCAGATAACCTAATGGGACTTTTTCTATGTACCTTTATTAAGATGAGTGATCAAAAACTTGTTTTCTTTTCTACCAATTTCCCAGTCTAGTCAGACAATCATGTCTAAACCTAGTTTTCGTGACTGAGATCTCTTTGTACTCTCAGTCCTGGGAAGGAAGAGGCACGATAACTAAATTGAAAATGCTAAAGGGCTTCTATCCAGGGATACATTGTGTGTCTGTTTTAATGATGAATTCTAGCTTTCCCAGGTAGCCTAAATGAAAGGAAACCACTTAGAATGAATTTTAAAAAGTAATGCTTCTACTATCTTCAGGGATCCCCAACTGACTGGCCTTAAAGGTATCTATCTCTACTTAAGGACTGCAACTGGACCTTTGATTTCAGTGGCCTAAGTAACTTCCTGAACTCTCTTGTAGAGGAAACTCCTGCTACCAATGCAAGTGGCCACCGTCTTTGTACCTTATGGTCTTAGACCTTGCCCAGTGACTTGTCTAGGGTCTTACAGCTAGGATGTCAGAGGTAGCAAATATTTCTGTATCTGATACTGACTCTATCTATTATGCTATATTGCCTTTCATTTTTAATTCATGGTGTCATTAGGGTGACTGGATATATACTTTGATGGGTGTTTTTATAGAGGCTACTTTAATTCTGGAATGAGAATTAGTTCTACCATTCAGGCAATAAACATGTAAATATTTCCCTGTCTTTCTTTTTCAAAAGAATCCCTTCTCAGAGATCCATGATTTCATCACTGTGCATATATCCTCCATCAATGTAGATTATACCCTTTTTTTTCCCCCAGTCTACAGGTTCATGAATTGCCCTAGCCCAAAAGATCCATTACCTTCTCAGGATAAGCCACTTTGAACTTAACTGGACTGTTCCTCAGACTACAATACCCATGATCCATCACTGTACTTGTATTCAACTTGGTTTAGGACTTAGGGATTCTGCAGCTGTAGCCTTGGTGAACTCAGTCGCCTTGAGCCCTAGTGAGGAGTCAGAGAAGGGCTGTAGCATATATATATTTTTAATCATATGACATTTAAAATAGCAACAGTTTGGTGTTGATGCATTGGAGCTTTGTTATTGTGCTTTTTTAGGGAGAAGAGGCGGAAAGGCTCCATATTGCCAAACTTGGGACTGAGTCTTATGGGTGTTTCTTTTGACATTTGAATAATTCTGAATGAATTGCAGAGTGGTCCTGACCAACTATGAATTCTACTGTGGGAGATGTGGCTTATAAAAATCAATAGACTCTTCTGAGTGCTTGTAAACTAGATTATAAGACTTTAGAGGGCAGGGACTTGTGGGTTTTTGTTTTTTAATCTTTTCATCTTACACAGTTCCCTGCTTATTTGTTTGTTGAACTGAATCAAGCAAATTGACCAGAACTCATGCCTCCACGTGAATGTTGCCTTTCAGAGTAGTCACTTTGTGAGGTTTCATTCTCAATCCAGTCATGCTGCCATTACCCAGATTATTTCCTTGTAGCTTGTTTTGGGTTGGCCTACAGAGTGAGCTGCACAAGAGATTAATTTAATTCAACATTTATTAAATGCCTTCTGTTCACCAGTGTCTGAGTCACGTGCAGTCTGGTGCACTGGAAAATTCAGAACCTGAGGTTTCAAATAATCAATAACTTTAACAAAATATTAAAATACCACCCCCCCATATGAAAGCAGTCCTCAAGGTGATTAAAAAGGCAGTTTCACATAAGATAAAACCAGGTAAAAGTCACCCGTAAGGAATTAAAAGCAAAGGACAAGGAAATTCCCTGGGGGGTGTCCAGAGCTTCCTCTAATATCTAGAGCTCACTTTCTTGCCCCAAGAACCTATAAATAGTCACTGCCATCAGGCAGCTTACATTTTACTATTTTTTATTGATTGATTGTTTTTTGGTGTAGGAATTCCCTGATCTGGAAATTCCCTCCTCAGCTACACATCACAACCTTTCTGTAACTTAGAGTCGTGCAGAGTCCCTGGGGTAGCAGAAGGTTGCAACTCGCCCATAATCGCATAGGCAATATGTGTCAGAGGCAGACCTTGAACCATGGTCATCTTGGCTCTAAGGCCAGGTAGCCCTATACTGTTCTAGGCTGCCTATCTTCTCATCTAATAATAATAACTAACATTTGTATAGCACTTACTATGTGCCAAGCACTGTGCTATGCACTTTATAATTATTATCTCA